TAACTGTTACTTTTGCGTTATAAATATAAAAATCATGAATAACTCGCAATTTCTGCCGAATATTTTTAAAACGAAAATATAAAATGCATTTTTCATATGTTACAAAGTAGTTGTATTTTGTAATTCCATACAAAATAAAACTGCAATATCTACAACAGGTGTATTCGGCCTCTCAGAGGTGTATCAAAAAACAAGTCGTTTGCTTAAAGTTGTTCATTTATACGCAACACAACACACCCCTCCTTCTATCCAACCGACTACCAATGAAGTCTGCACACATTTTAGCGACTTTAACAAAAAATGTTACCAAACGATAAGCGATCTATTGCGAATATTCATTGGAATTTCAACTAAAAAAATTAAAATACAATAAGTTTCACAAATTTGAAAATCGTGGAAATAAATATTTTAAAAATATGCCAAATTATGGATAATAAATATTTTAAAAAAATTCACAATTTTTTAACACATTGTTTGCTAATAAGCTAATATTTATTCAACCATAAATATTTTAAACTATTATTAATTTTGTTTTAAAAGGATATTTCAAAAGTTCCTTCATTCTTCATATTGCTTTTAGTTCATTATTCATATAAATTTTCTATTTTATTAAATATAATTTGCTTGTATTATGTGCACAAAGTTTGCGAAAACATAACATATGACAGATTGCAACAGTGATGCCAATGTGTCACGTAACGTAACGTAATACGTAACTTCTTTTTCTCTGTTACACTTCGGAGATGCCGAAAAGCAGCATTATATAAGCGATGTTATATGTTTGTAGACCAAATATATGTGCTACCAAATCGCACTGTGAAAATTCAAGTATGCATACTAAATTTAAAATATAAATTAAAATCATCTACAACTGTAATAAAATATGTAGTAATAAGACCAAAATATTAGAAACCAACACTTAATCTAATACACAACGCTTTTAATAGCACAAAAAATTAGCAAATACAAAAAACGTAAATGTTATATTAAGTTTTTAACTTTTAATTGTGAAGATCCAAGAAATAATTCAATTACAAATCAATAATCATTTCATGATACTCGGTGTATAAATAAATAAAAGTTTTAAAATTTACTTTCATAATTTCTTAATAGACATGTTCTCCTCTGAATCCTTCTGCATAACTTTGGTGACAGACATTTCAAATCTTCCTGAATAACATACACACGACGCGTACATAACAGCTTCCATGCAAACGCCTTTAACTTTTGCACCAGAAGCTCCCGGTATAAGTTCAACTATTTTACGTAAATGAATTCAACGACTCAAGTCAATTTTACGTGAATGAATTTTGAGAATATCTAAACGAGTTTGTTCATATGGTGAGAGAATTTGAACTATCCTGTTTCACACAACAGCTCTAAATATTTCTGAAGAATATCCACTTTTGCATAAGAGCCAGCGCTAAATAGTTTAACTGATAATTTATGTTACTTAATGAAATTATTTTATAATTATCTTTGGATATTCTTCTAAGAATCTCTTTAACAATATCTTACGACGATTATTTAATTGAATTAATTAAAAAAATTGCATAAATAAAAATGCTTCGTCAATTTGCTCCGCTATTGCAAAATATGTAAACAAAATTCTGAAATCAAAACATATTCACAGCTGATATAAGCTGTCAAAATGTAACTCGTAAATATCTGTAAAAAATGTAAATATCTGTATTTTTTAAAATTTTTATTACATTTATTTAATATTATAAACATTTCTTTGATAAAATTTTATTATAGTGGTTGTTTCCAAAAAAATAATTGAATTTCTTTTCATTGACTTGGCAATATTGTTTTGGTAATTTTTGACATTTGAATAATTTGTTTGTGTTCAACATTGTTTGTAAACAATTTGAAAAGGTGAACCTGCCTTAATAATAATAATAAAAGGTATTCGTGAAAATTGCCCAACAGCCGGTACTGCGGCCAGAAGAGACCTATTGTACCAGTTTCACTATTGATTAAACAAAGCCCCTTAAAGCTTTGTGAATAAAGTCTAGAACTAAATCTAGAGAAGAGTTCTTAATCTGTTCTGGTGACAGAAATTCCTTATGAAACAGGTTTCTTCTGTGCGTTATTAAAGCTGGACAGTCACAAAGAATGTGCATGGTTGTTTCCTCATCTTCGAGGCATAATCTGCATTCCGAGTTAGCAGATAATTGTAGTTTATGAAGGTGATATTTCAGACCATAATGACCTGGAAACCCGTTATCATCCTTAAATTACATTTTGAGAATTTAAGAATGTTTTTGTAGGAGTAAGGTGTTATCAGTGCTTTGCTTTGTCTGAGTCCTGGAAAGTTTACCCAGTACTCTAGCCGCATATGATTTTCCATTTCCTTGATAATCTGTTTTGTACTAGCCCAGTTTATTCCACAAAAGGGTTGAGGGCCTATAAAAGCAGTTTCTGATGCAGTTCTGGCAAGCTCATCAGCTTTTTCATTTCCCAAAACTCCTCTGTGGCCCGGAACCCAGTAAAGGTTTACCTTATTCCGAGCTGCAAGTGATTGCAGAAGATCGTAACACTCAAGGACCTGTTTTGATTTGAAAGTCCAAGAAGAAAGAGCTTTAAGAGCAGCCTGGCTGTCAGAGTAAATGAACCTGCCTTTAGTTGGGTAGTTCATTTCACTGAGCTACCGATAAATGATGTAGTACAAAAAGCTGAACATGAAAAAGATGTTTTTTACTTTGTCAAAGAAGCCAATCTTGCAAGTTTTGCAATGTGGTGCCTTTGATTGTGTACGTTCTTACTATCATTTAATGCAAATAGCAAACTAATTGATAGAAATGATCAAACATGTTAGGATGTTACTGATAATAATGATATTCGTATGCTGTTGTCTTCATAACAAATATAATTTTTGACTTACCTTTTAATTCAGATCTTGTAATGAATGTAAATACGGTTTTAGTACTTCATTAATAAATAAAATAAAATTTCATTTATTCAACACAATTATTTTCTGAATTTTTTATATATAAACCTAACTGGAGTTAGCCTAACTCGCACACGTCCTAAATTAAAATAAAAGGAAATAAATTGCAAATATTGATATGTTAAATTGATCTTTCATCAATGTGTCGTGTACTTTTCTCAATTTTATTTTTTTGTTGTTATTGATATTTAAACGTTAAATTTTTGGATTTTTAGAAATTAATATAAATTGAACTTAAAATGAAACAACAATTTTTAAGATATATTAATCAAACACACATTTTCAATCAAATAGGGCATCTGTATTACCCATTAAAATTTCCCAATGTTAGTCTGTTCAATACAGACTACACATACTGTAAGGACACAGAATATCCAACATTATACGATATCCAACATTATATTCAACATTATACTAATTTCGCAAAAATCTTAATTTCATCTTCGTTTCTGCGAAATTAAATTGTTTTTTCCATATAAAATTTAGTGGTATGGTTAGAAACAAATTAAAACGAAGGCTGAAATTAAGGGAGATTTTAAATGCAACTATGCGTAAGATAAAACATAAAGTTGAGATAACGAAAAAGTGACATTTTTTTAAATAAATATTACTAACAGTTGACTTTAACAAAACCAGGAAAATCTCACTACTTTTAAAAGTAGTGAGAATTTTTGAATTTGAATATAGGAGAGAACTGTAACTATTATTAATTTTTAATAGAGTGAAAAACAATAATTTACATACCTAAAATCTACTATAGCTAATAAAACTACTGAATTTCATCCTTTATAGTTATAATAATCAAATTTAAAAATTTCCCAGATACAAATGGTGTTTGGAGCATGTAATTTTTAACATTCGATTTGTGAACAAAAAACATATGATTTCCTTAATTTGGGGCATTATGAACACTTTCGAAATTAACTTAATTTCACTTTAACGAAATTAAAGAAATTTGGCTGTCTGAACATAGCATTAATTTGGTACATTTAATATATACCTTTAAATTAAAAAATACATATATAATAAACATATTTATTTTTATTTCATATACATTTGGAAACCACGAAAAAAAATTTCAAACTTCTTAATTTTTAATATACAATATCAGAAAATATTTTATAGTATGGAGCGCAATGCAAATATGCATATAAACAAAACGAAAGTTTTTGTGCCAAACTGTTATTAATATTATTAGAGATTAATGTTATTAAATACTTATTGAATTACTTGACTGTTCACATATAATTACATATCTATAAAAATGTGTTAAATTAGGACGTGTGCGAGTTAGGCTAAACTAAATGAGAGATTTTTTGGGATTTTTTGCACTGAACACTTTTAGCCATTTATCAACACGTATTGACACATCAGTACATTATCGGCACAACTTAGAATTTCCCTCATTTAGAACGCAACTTAGTCTAACTCGCACACGTACTTAATATCTTTCTTAATAAATCATTTTACTAAGGAGTACAATATTTATGCAACCTTGTGAACTACGACGCAATTAGAACATCACAAATGCTATAAAAAGTGCGTAACAAATACTGGAATAGGATGGTTGACAATATATTTTTAGTGCTGCACATGCCAGTAATGCAAGAGTGAGTGTAATATACAATATTCTGCGTACAGTTGAGCAAGCAATAAGAAAAATTGAGTACGGTTCGACACGTCGCTCTGTTCGATTGCATTAGTGTGAGCTGAACAAAAGTAATTTTTCAAAAACCAAAAGAGGAAGACAAATATTGCTTGATTTTGTGGAATATGAAATTCGCTATCGTGTCCGCCATTGCTTTTACGAGAAACGTTTAAATCGTATTAAGTTAAAGTTAAGAAGAAATCAAATCGTAAAACATTTGGTTTATTTTTATGTATACGTTACACAAATTCATTTAATGAAAATTTAAACAAGTAATTATAATTTAAAATAATGAAAAATACATTTTTTTTCAAAATTTAGAATTATTTTATGTATGTACATATTTTAAAATAATGAAAAATGTCAAAAATTTTTATTCGTTGTTAATTACTTGAAAAAAAAAATTGATATAAGAGGCGGGAGTGTAAGCAATATAAAAATAAATTATATAAAATCAGTTCTCTTCGTATGTGCTTCAAACAAACCAGTGTTTTAATTGCTATTTTCTTAAATAAAAAAAACTAATCCAGTTTAAATACGTTAATTACAATGCTGTTATGATGAAATTTTAAATTAAAAGCATCAAAATTTTTTTTCGTGTAAAACGGGCAATGTGCAGTGAGTGTTCCCACCTCCATAAAATAATGCTAGTCTTTATGTATTAATTTGTTTCGTTGCGCAGCATATTCATGTTAATTTTTAATTTACAATTATAAAAGCATCTTTTTAATTTTTCACTAAATTTGTAATTAAATTTCGGCGTTTTCAATTTTGTTGTAAAAAAAAAACCCAAAACGCGATAACATGAGCTTATTTTTTCATTTCGCTTTTGTTCTTATTTCATCAATGTTGCATGTGTTGGGTTATGTTTTTCTTATTTTTTTTTTTTCTTTTTTTTTTGTACTACAGTCCCGCAAATTTTTCGGTTTTGAGAACAGTTTCTTGTGTTGAGATCACTCCATTAAAATGTTGTGTTTAAATCACATCGAAAACATATTTTAGCATTATGCTGTATTATTATGTTTATTGTGGTTTAGTGTTGTTTACTGTCATTAACTACTGTTGCCGGCACAGCATAATATGTTTTAATGTATATATATATATATATAAATTTTTTGTTTTGTAGTAATAAACGTTTGTTAAATGAAAGTTGAATGGGCGTAAATGATACACCTATTCTGAAAAGACAAAGACGTCTACTTTATATTGGAAAAGAGAATAATCAAGCGAATACGACAGGCACCATAATTTCGTCCAAAGCGACAAATCAGCTGGACCGTAGGCGAAACGGCGCTCGGGTCGCGGATTCCGATCCAAATGTTGAAGTTATCTTCACTATGGCACCAGCGCTCACAGAGCCTATAAGTCCAACCGATAACTTAAACAATACTTCGGTGAGGGCGACAAGAGTCGCAACCGCCTCGCGTTTAAATAAAAAATCATTGAAAGAATCTACTTCGCCTACTGAATCAAATGTAAATTCTAATAAAGACAAAAGAAATCGTAATCATTTTGCAACCACTTCAACTCGTGTCACACGTTCGAGAGACGCAAGTCAACGTGACTACGAGAAGCAGGCATCATCACCAAAAAGCGATATTGAAAATATACAAAAGAAAGAGAATAATGTGCATGATAGTGAGCAACTGGGGTTGAATGTAATTTTGGGTTCAAATAATAATTGTATTGAGCCAACTACAATTTGCAAACAGGATTCAACTGCTCAACTTTTAGCTGACTTAACAAGTAATTTTGAAGGGGCTATAAGTGCAGACATTTATTTACGTAACCAGTTAAAGGACGCGAATTTAGATAAAGGTGTAAAAGAAAACAATACTAGCGAACCAAAAGATATTTTTGTAATCAAAGCAGACTCAGAAGGTGTACTTGAACAGAATACCACACTGCACATGGATCCGCCTTTAATTACTGATCCCGACAATAAACCAAAAGTGAATAGTGCAATTGAAATTCAAGGTAACATTTATGAAAACATAGATAATTTCAATTCTGACGAAATACCAAGCAACTGTGCGGTAATTCAAGGGCCTGCACTTGAACCTCAAAGTAACACCAATGTCACAACATCTGCGGTAGATATACAAGCTCTTAGTACAGATTCCACAATGACTGCTTCAGAAGTTGAGGATAATATAGAAGGTACCTATAAATTTTAACACTGAATTTTTAATTTAATATAGTTTATTAATTATTCTTTACACATTACAGAGCGATTGAGCCAATTGGATAGTATATCTGGACCTCCTATGCCTTGTGTACAGCCTAGCACAAACGATTCAAATGCAGACTTAAACGCACTTCCTACAGTTGACTCTAGTAAGCTTGCAAATGTTACACAACAGCAAAGTATACAAGAATTGGTAAATTTGGCAACAACTTCGCAAGCACCGATTGTTTTCAATCAACAGAACATATCAACTAATATGTCACCAAGCATAAATATACATAATAAAGATGGTACCGTGCTTGAAGAAGAGGATATCGAAGATATGCTTAAAGGTTTTGCTCAAGTCCCTGCAGATACATTATGTGATCTTAATATTAATAATCTATTTAATGAAGTAGTTAATGGCTTTAATTATGATGAAAATTATAGTCAAACAGCGGCATCAACAAAACCCAGTAATGATATTGATAAGGATACTTTAGAAGTTATTAAAGTTAATGAAATTCTGGAAAAACGAGTTGCAGATATGTTATTGCGATTGCGAATGATTCAAGTACGCTACATCTGTAAGCATAGTAGTGAGGAAATTGCTGGTCTTTTTGAATGGTCTTCTCGTATCAGTAAACGCAATAGTCATTTACTCGATCAAGATAATACGAGTAATAATGATCTAATTGGTATTGGTTCAAATGTAATACCGACCAACACCGATAAAAAACGTTTTATCTCCATGATGGAAGTGTATTCATTGATACGAAAGCTACGCAAAGCACATGACTCTCAGCAGTTGTCCGCCATCGCCTCTTCTGGTATAAATTCTAGTAACCTATATAAAAAGAATAAGAAAAACTCCCAAGATACATCAACGCTATCATCTAGCACACATGCTAGTGAAATGGTTATAGTACCAACATATGATCTACAAACCATTGACGAAATCAAAACCGTGGCTGGTTTACTGCAAACGGCAATGCGTGATTTACAAAAGTCAATAGATTCAGATGCCACTGAATCAAGTTCTGACGAAGAATCAGCTGATGAAATGATATCTTATAATAACCCAATACAACGAGCAGTATCAATGTAAGTTGAAAATATATTGTACACATAAAAGATTATTTCAAAACTCTATTTTTAGTGTAAAACGAGCTGCGTATGTTTATTCACGTGATCGTGCAAAAATTGGAACACGTTGGTCTTGGGCAGTTGCACAAATTACGGATTTAGAAATGAAGATACAACATATTCATAAAGTTAGTGCAGAAATTGCACAAGGCAAAGGTGCAGTAATTTGTGAAGAGACAAATGATAGTACGATTGATGTTAGTGAAGAAAGTTGCTGTAGAACACGCGCACTTAATACAGCCGTATTTCGTAAGAGAAAATTACTCCAAACTACAAATTTACATACAATCTCAAAGAAAGCAGCACGCCCAAGGTACGGAGAGAATTACGATTTACAAATAACACTGCAAATAGTTTTTTTTTGGTTTAATTTAACTTCTGTGAAATGTCTATATTATTCTTTTATTATTATTTCATTTTAAAATTGTAAAACCTATTGTATGATTTCTAATTATTGTTTTATTAAACAAAACTTTTGAAGCTGATAACCATTATCAGTTTAGTTTCACATTAATCACTATAAGTAACCCAAAAATTGTATTCAAATAATTAATTTTTTAATTTTTTCACTTATCCCAAATATAATGTAATATTCAAACATATAAGCAATAACGATTGAACACATAAAGCAGTGCTTAATTAGAGTATTTAAAAAAATATTAGTATTATATTAAAAACAGCACGCACAAAAAAGAACACAAAGATATTAACCACCTCTTTATTTTCCTCGTAATAAAAAATTGGCAGCAAGCCAGTTCAATGTCTACACTGTTCAGAAAGAAATCTAGCTACTTTATCTCTATCTTAGAACATTTTAATATTAAACAAAACCTTTAACATTTATATTTGTTAATAAAAGGTACTTATTTTTTCAAGATTCTAAATTTTTTTTCTTAGATTTTTAGTTTTAAATTTAAATTAATAATTATCATCTTTTGTGATTATTTTATATTTCATTTATTTCTAAATAGTACCATAAAATGTGGCTGCCAGTGGCCCGTGCTTCCATGTGCTTTGTGCACAGGTCGTTCAGATCCAACTGCACCTCGCGACTTACCTGATACAATGATGCTATCTGAAAGAGTTGCACTTTTAGATCCGGGTTTTCATCCAGTTTT